TCTGCTCCTCAGTTCAACATGGGAATAGCAGAAATATGAACTTGACAAGATCTCTAAAGTACACAGAAAATACAGTGATTCAGACTGGAAAAGAGATTCTAATTTCTGCAACTTAATTTTATTTTTTCTTTATTTTTAAATAATAGCATATACATTTTTGTGTTTTAATATAGAAGAAAATATTATGATATTTTAATTGTAACCACACTGAAAAAAGTCAGTCTTTCAATGGATGGCTTGTCTACCTGTTTATAAAAAGTGTTTATAAATTCTTAGTTTATATTGACCTTCTGGATGTATAAAGAAACCTCTGCTCTTCTTTTAACATTTTCTAATTTGCTACAGCTTGGAGCTCAAGAGATTTATTTTATTAAAGAGGTTAATTCATTTAAAATTTTTTAATCTGAGCAGGTGCAACTGCAGCAAGCAATTCAGCCTTTGAGGTCACTTTTGCTTCACACACTAATATGTCATTTTAAAATAATTTTTGACTCTTCTGAACTGCAGCTGTTTGCTATCAAGAAGTTAAACACCAGAATTTAGGTTATTTTACCATACAGTCCATTTTAATGGATTACTGACTGTTGGCAACTCAGGCTTCATCACCAAAGTTCTTTTAACTTTATCGTTAAAAAGGACACCAGGGCTTCAAAAATCCTGATTCAGTAATGATAGGAAATGAGTATTAAACATCTAGGGCAGGGGTGGGCAAACTACAGCCCGGGAGCCGCATCTGGCCCTTCAGATGTTTTAATCCAGCCCTCGAGCTCCTGCTGGGGAGCAGGGTCCAGGGATCACGCGGCTACCGGAAGCAGCTGCATGTCTCCCCTATGGCTCCTATGTGTAGGGGCAGCCAGGGGGCTCCACATGCTGCCCCTGACCCAAGCTCTACCCCCCACAGTTCCCAATGGCCAGCAACCATGGCCCATGGGATCTGCAGGGATGGCATCTGCGGACGGGGGGAGACATGCTGGAGGGGGGGACATGCTGCTGCTTCTGGGAGCTGCTTGAGGTAAGTGCCACCTGGAGCCTGCACCCCTGACCCCCTTCAGTGCCCCAGCCCCAGTCCTGATCCCCCTCCCACCCTCTGAACCCCTCAGTTCCACCCTCCTGCACCCCAGAGCCCGCACCCCCGCTGGAGCCCTCAACCCCCCACCCGCACCCCATCCCCTTGCTCCAGCCCGGAGCCCCCTCCTGCACCCTGAACCCCTCATTTCTGGCCCCACCCTGAGCCCACACCCCCAGCTGGAGCCCTCACCCCCTCCCGCACCCCAATCCCCAATTTCATGAGCATTCATGGCCCGCCATACAATTTCCATATCCAGATGTGGCCCTTGGTCCAAAAAGTTTGCCCACCCCAATCTAGGGCCACATTTTCAACTGGGCCTCAATCTTGCCACTTAAATTTGTGTCTTCAGTTTTGTATGTGTATATTTTTGAATGCATAAGCCCCCCTTTTATATTTATATACACTTAAAACTAAAAAAAATCCTCCCTTGATATGCATGTTAGAGGAGAAATATTAAATGTTTTGGCTTTGTAAGATATTAAACGTTTATCAAGCATCAAAAGTCAATTCTATCATGAATTTTAAGAGTTTCTACACTTATTTTGGGGGTTCTATAAAGGTAATGAGTGTAATTCTTCTAAAGTTATACCAATAGTTTCTTCATCTTTAGCTCTCTTAAGTAAAGTCTATTAACTTTTTTTGAGATTTGTGTTTGCCTTTTCCTAGTCCATCTCATCTATTCCAATAATTTTTTTTTGTCAGACACTTGATCACTACTGTCTAGAGTTGCTTTTCTATTTGCTGCTTATCACTCAATCTATTTTTCATAACCTAGAATCCTCCATAAATACTTTCCCATTTCTGTCTCTTTCAGGTGCCAAATTGTTTGGCATACAGATGAGAACAATTCATAAGAGAGTCTCAATATTTTTTCAGTTACTGTGACCCTGCATTCAGTCACTCACAGTCTTCCTGAGATGTGCCACAGAATCCTTTGCACAAGCTCCCACAGAGCTGAAAAGGAGAGGCTGCTGGGATCAGGGCAATGATTTATGGGGTATTCTTGGCATCTGAGGAAGAATAGTTGCAAATGGTTGAGCTAATGTGCATCAGCAGAAGACCATCCATGGCGAATGAGAACAGGTTTGCAACCCACACAGACAAGTATAGACGGAAAAGGGAAGGAGAGCTATGAGAGGTAAAAGAAAGAAAATCAGATGGGTGAGCAAATAGATAAAGCAGAAAACTAGGGAGAGAATAGAGAAAAGAGATTTCAGAGAAAAAGCATGTAGAAAACAGGAAGGGAAAGTTAGATAAAATCCTCCCAAAAGAAAGAGTGCCTCTTGTCCTTAGAAAGACAAAGTACTGCTTCTACAACAGTTAATTCAGGCATTGGGAAGGAGCAAGAGAACTGAGAATGACCTAATCATCTGATCTAAGGAAATTAAACTAAAAGAAAAAGAAAAACCAGAAAAGGAAAGGGTGTCATTTCTTTTGGCCTTAGAACACTTCCAGTCTGCATCCATTTTTCAAATTGTTTTCTGAAGTGGGTCCCCCAAGATTTCCCCACTTCATTTATACATGGCAATTCACAACCTCCAGCTGCTTCCCTTGGCATCATTTCTCCACTTACTTCTTCCCATGTTACAAATGGAATTTGAGCCTATATATAGCAAAATTCAAGCAAACAACAACAAAACCAGACAAAACAATGCAAACAAGAATATTCAACTTCTGTTCCATGACACAGAAGATCCCATAAGGAATAATCTGGATATTGTGCAAAACTGGATTCAATGAGTTTTGCTCCCTGAGGGTGTTTTCAGGCTACGCCCTTCAATTTTTGCTGGCAAAGTAGAATAAACAACAAAAAATGAGAAAAAAAAAATTCCTCTTAGAGTACTCACTGAACATAGATCTATTCAGAATCACAAGGGCCTTTTCTTCATTTTGCTGTCATTTTAGAAAATATTTAAAGGTCTTTCTCCTCTCTTTGCCCCCACCGCTTTCTTCAGGGCACCAGTCAGTTCCAGGTACTCTCCCTGGTCTCCAAAGTGATTCAGATCTATCTGAAAGAGCTAGACTGAATGAGTTACCAGGTCTGAGGTTAGCAAAATGAACCAGGATATAAGGGTCTTACTGATACAGATCCCAAATACAGGTGCACAAGATTTGTAACAAATATACTCCACTCTTTCAGATACACAAGTATAGGGTAATATGGCAAAAGTAGCTATTTGCTCTTCATCGGTTGAGTTCACATGGCTAGGTCTTACTTTAGTAACATCTGGATATTAAGACAGAAAGTCCAGGATGACTAATGATGGACAAATGCATGATTGATATCTTAAGTTTTCCCCTGAAGTACATTATTATACTAGACAGCTAACATTTTTCCCATACTGACCCCAAATACTGTCTAACAAAATGTCCTTCCAGATGGGTGTGTGAGGTGGCAGATGTTCTCCCACAATGTTTTACTCATCTTTCCCTGACAGTATTGCCAATTTATTTAGGTTCAAGAGTGTAAACAGGAGTTAGTTAGTCCAAATGAGGAGACTGTTCATTAAACAGGAAAATGATGTTAGATAATTTCGGAGAGTTCTCCTTTTACATTACTACTTTAGATAGGTCTGAGCCTAAGAAGTTGTCAACTTCTGAAGAGTCTATGGAACTGGGATGGTCAAAAAAATACAGCACCTTATAAGTCAAACACAACCCACAACCTGTGTCTATCCCTTAAGCACTATTCCAGGCTGCTCTTGGTTTTCAAAAAAACCCGAGGCGTACTTGTGGCAGCTTAGAGACTAACAAATTTATTTGGGCATAAGCCCTTGTGGGCTAAAACCCACTTCATCGGCATGCATCTGATGAAGTGGGTTTTACCCCACAAAAACTTATGTCCAAATAAATTTGTTAGTCTCTAAGGTGTCACAAGTAGTTCTTATTTTTTTTGCTGATACAGTCTAACATGGCTACCTCTCTAAAGTCTTGGTTTTCAGTGATTTCCACTAGTATGGGGAGATGAAGGACCCAGAAAATATTTATCACGAAGTGGTGATGCTAGACAGGACACGCACATGCAGCTAACATTTGCTGTCATCCAGGCATGTTGTTCTGAAATAGAGATGTTAATAGGTCTTCACATGGATTTCTTTACTTGTTTGCACTAAAGAGATGACTATACATTCCTAAGGAATGTATGGAAATTGCCACCTTGCTTTGGTGGTGCTGGATCAGCATGTGCTGGGTCCTGCAGGCGATGGTGCAGAGCAGCACAGTGGGCCTGGGCACCCCCATAAGCCACTTGGCTCAGGCTGTGGAGGGGAGGGGAGGGCATGCCGGGAGAAGGCTCCCAGCAGGCTGCTTTGCTTGGTGGGCAATGACGCAGTGCATACTGGCACCTGGTGTTCCAATCTACCCCCTCACCTCGGACCCAAGGGAGTCACCTCATGTGGGAGGCAGCACCTCAGGGTGTGAATCAGGTTACAAACAAAACCCTTCTGCCACCCACCCAACCCTAAGGGCTTCATGGTGGCTGAGCAGCCACCAGGCCACGCAACCAGCGGCCAGAAGGAGGGGGACACCCCCGCCACAAACAAGTAGAAGGGACCGCGGAGGGGGAGGAGCTCATGTCGAAGGCTCTTATCAGGGGAGGGGGCCAAAAAGAGGGAAAGAGGCTGAACCCCCGGGACCCCCAGTTCCCCAGAGGGGAGCAGGACCTGGCCCCGCCCCCGTGCTGCGACGGGGTGGGGCACGAAATAGGAAATCTGAGAGCACAGAAGAGACATTGAAGCCACACCCCGTCACCGCGCACGAGGAACCCCGCGCGCGCGGCTAGTTTAGAGAAAAGAGCAGCGCACAAGAGGCGGAGTCTTGCTAACGGTTGGTGGTCACGATCCAGATCCGCCATTGGCTGGGTGTCCCGCGCCGGCCGCCCATTGGCTGTAGTTCCGGCTGGGCGGGTAACGGCTCGGGGCCGCCAGGCGCGTGGCTGTCTGAAGCAATGGCCTCGAGTAGCCCCGAGGAAGGGGCGGCCGAGGTGGACCCGGCCTTGGGTGAGAGTTCCAGCTCATGGCCAGCTGGGCCCTCGTCCGGCGCTGGGCGGAGCCGGCGGCCGCTCCTTGCCAGTCAGGGCGAAGAAAAGGCGGAGGCCGACCCATTGCCAGCCCAGTACCCGTCCCACCTGGGGGCCGTGCCAGGGCGGGACAAGGTGGCCTTGTACTGCGACAGGCTGCTGCGGGGCTGCAAGGTGAGCGTGGCCCGCGCCCGTGAGCGCAGCACTGGCTGGGGCAGGTGGGGAGTTCCCTGGAGGCCGCCTGCGAGGGGAGGGGTTTCTTTGGGGGGTGGAGGGGTCTTCAGGGCACACGAAGAGGCGAGGCGCGCTCAGCCCCACGCGTGCCCGTCCTCGGACGGTAAACCGCTCCAGCTAACGAGAAATCCACAGCAGGGACCATGCGGACATGCCCTCCGGCCGCTGCCCCCGGAAGGCGAGAGAAAGAGTAAAGAATATAATGGAAGAGGGGAGCAATCGAAACGAAGGGAGGAGAAAATGGCAGATGGAAAGGGGAGGGGCCGGGCAGAAAAATAAAAATCCAAGAAGCGGCAGCTGTAAGGTTAGAGAACACTGGTGCAGTGCCATGGTGTTTACGGGGCTTGTTAGTTCCGAGACATGAGAGAGACAACATAAATGATATCTTTTATTGGACCAGCTTCTGTTGATGAGAGTCAAGTTTTCCAGCTTACACAGGTCCTGAAGGGGAGCTTGGTGTAGCTTGAGAGCTTGTATCTCTTTCCAACATAATTTGGTCCAATAAAATACATTAGGGCACCCACCTTGTCTCTCATGTTATTTACTAGCTGTGTCAAGTCTACTTCACCATGGTGTTAGTACAAGAAACTATTGACATTTTATTTCTCTGTAAAATAAAATAAATTTCCCATCTGTGGGAAAAGCTGCACACTTCACAGATATGAAATAATCTCACCACCCTAAACTATGTCATGTATCACTCAACTGGCATTTACTTAAAAAAAGGATGGTGGTTCATAGTAGTGCACAGAGCCTTAGTCTTCCCATATATTGTCTTTTGATGGTAAGTTACGCTTTAGAATAGTGAAGCTTGACAGAATTAATTGAAAGGCAATTCAGTGATCCCCACTGTGCTGTTTTGAGAAAGTGTTACCTCCTTTCTTAGTTATAATGGCTGTCTCTGATAAACTGGAAAGCTATTTAAAAACAGTCCTCTTTCCCTAAAGAGTAGCAATATAATAAAATTTAGGAATTTGGTTATTATTTGTCAACACATTCACTCACAACACTCTGATTTAAAGTAATGAATTAATTGTGTACTGTATTTAATTTTAACATTGTCAGTTAACTTTTTTTAAAGTATTTTTCCCTCCCACTGGGTTTCGCTCTTTTTTTTTTTTGCTTGTTTTTCTTTCCTGTAAGAGAGTATACTCTCTCTCCCCCCCCACCCCTATGATTTTCTTTCCTTCTTCCTCCTCCCCATTATATCCTTCTTCTCTGCTGCCCTTAGAGTGATATTCAACAACTTATGGATTACTGTGAAGTTTTATATGAATTTATTTTTTAATTAAAAGTGCAGTGCCTTTAAGATAGGTGAGTTTTTTTTCTCGTCATTCATGTAATAGGCAGAAGATGCCAATGAAGCAATGAGTAAATATCTTTTGGAAAAATTGAAAATGAAAGAAAAATGGCTTGGAGTCTGGAAGACCAATCCAGAGCTTTTCTTCATCAATTCTGAAGACGTCCTTGTACCTTTTGTTGGAATACTTGTTGAAGTAATTTTCCTTTTTATTTTTTCATTCTAGTTAGTTGTCATTAAAATAAAGCATTTAGGTTTTTAAAGTTTAATGGAAAAAATAAGGCTCATAGCATCTTGCACACTAATTATCATTGAGTTTTTTCAAATTTCTCAAAGTTCTCAAACACCTGTGTTTTCAGATCTCTATATAGTGTTGAGTATTCAGCTATTTTTCGAGTGCTTGTTCATGTCCATTCCAATCAGGTGTGTGCGTGTACACGTGCCTGGAAGATTTTTCCCATAGCAGCATCCATCAGGTGCTACCCCTTCAGTTCCTTCTTACCGCCAGTGACGGTTGGCTAGAACTTCCTGTAGCCCTTGCTTAGCAAGCGCATTCTATAGTTCTCTGTATATAGTTACCTTAGTTATTAATAATTAGAGTTTTTAGTAATTAGAGTTGTTGGGGGTCCCTCCCCATTCTGACTCCCCAGAGCCATTGTATGCTGCAGTCCCTGGGGTTTAAAAACTGTGTGGCCTGGGCGAAGTGCATGCTGAAGAGCAATCCACACTCCATGTTTATGGTGCTTACGGGAGGGTCACCAAAAGGATCGCTGTAAGATCTGCCGCAAGTTCCGCCCTAGAACTGTTAAAGAAAGGGAACAGCAGCTTAAGGTGATCCTCCTGGAGGCAGCTGTACGCTCCCATTCTGACCCAGGCTCAGGGGACCCGGCTCCTAACACATTGTCCTCGACACGGAGCGTCCCAGCACTGTCGTCAAGCTTGGCACAGAGAAAAGACTCGTTCCAGGATTCTTGGCACCGGCACAGCACCTCATGAGGCCCGGCTGAGAGCAGGCACTGATCCCACTCGCTAGTGCCTCAGAAGAAAAAGAAGCTGGACAGTCGGTCACCTCTGGCTAAGTCCAGAGAAATGAGACCCCAGGCGGGCCACAACTCTGGATCCCCTACTGGGGCCACATCAACTCCTGCCCAGGCAAGGAAGTTGAGTCCAGGTCCCCCACGGTCACCAGTCCCTACAGGCCAGTAGCTACAACTCCCTTTGACGCTGGAAGCTTTTGAAGCTGCTTGGAACCTGCAGCACCTTACGGCACTGTTCTCACCCCTAAGGAGGAAAGAACCTCTCGTGCTGGTAGCCCCGCCCTGCCCCCCAGCACAGTCAAGAGGGAAGCCAGCTGTGATGTCCAGGCGCTCCCCCTCTCCATGTCTCTCAGCACCGGCCCACGCGGACAGAGAGCCTACCTGCTCCCTGAGCTCTCCTTCTCCTCCGTGATCTTCAGTCTTGGAGACCTTGGAGTCAGAGTCCGACTCCTTCTGATCCAGAAGAAGTAGGAGCCGAAGATAGAGGTCTGAGAGAGACAGGAGAGAGCCCCAGGTGTGGCCACCGCAGTGGCAGAATCCACCACAGTGGCCATTCTGGACCCCCGGGCCTTTCATCAAGGCCAGGGAGGGACCCAAGGTCACCACTGTGCTGCGTTTTCTGTTGCCTCAGCCACCTTCATCCCACCATCGTCTATGCAGCTTCCCTTGGCACCTGCCCATATGCCAGTGCCTCGGGCCATGGCGCCAGCACCAACCTTGGCACCACTGACTCGTCTGACTTCAGCTCCAGCACAGATATTGATACCGATTACAGCGCAGGCACGGACGACCCTGGCACAGATACCAGCGACGGGCCTGCCACCTTTGTCGGCGCAGACGGGGATTTGCACCAGCTCCATCGATGGTTCCTACGGTCTTACTGATGGTGGCGCCAACACCGGGTTCAACGTGCACAGCCCCAGTGCTGGTGAGCGCCCCATTGGCACTGATCCTGCCCCGAGTGTCACGGGGTCCCCTGGGGACGGATGGCATGAACATCCGCCTCTTATAAGTGCCTCCTCCTCATCGTTGCCAGACAAGGCATTGGCGGATACAGCCGTAGCCCCAGCACTTGAAGACAACAGGGTGCTGCAGCAGTTGCTGTGAAGGGCTGCTCAGAGACTGGGCATTAAGGCCGAGGAGGCTGATACCGTGGTGGACATCCTCGCTCCCTCAGGACCTTCTCGTATTGCCCTACCACTGATTAAGACTATTGTGGATGCTACCAATACCCTGTGGCAGACCCCAGCTTCCTTGCTGCCCCCTCCCAAGCACAATGAGAGGCATTATTTAGTGCCCTCCAGAGGGTGCGAACATTTATACCCGCAGTCACCCTCTGACTCTCTTGTGGACACTGCTAACCAGTGTGAGAGATAGGGTTTCCAAGCCCTCCCCAAAAAACAGGGAGGCTAAGCGACTAGACCTTGTCAGGAGAAAGGTCTATTCTACAGAGGGTCTGCAGTTCCGTATTTTGAACCAACAGGCCATCGTCAGCAGGTACTCGTATAACACTTGTACGGCGATCGCCAAATTTACGGAGCTCCTCTCTTCGGACTCCTGAGCCGAGTTCTTGGCCTTGGTGGAAGAGGGGAAGCTAGTGTTCCCTCCAGGCCATGTTGGATGGTGCAGATACTGCCACTAGGGTCATGACTATTGGGGTGGCCATGAGAAGGGGCTCGTGGCTCCAAGTCTCGGGGCTCCCTTATGAGGTCCATCAGACTATTCAGGACCTCCCATTTGAGGATGTGACTCTTTTCTGAAAAGACAGACAAGAGGCTACACAGCCCGAAAGACTCATGAGCCACCCTCAAGTCTTTGGGCCTGCACACTCCCGTCATGCAGCGGAGACACTTCAGACTGCAACCTCTTTTAAGATTCCATCACCAGAACTGCCAGTATGGTTCTCGGAGGAGGAACAGGAGTGGCAGGAGGAGACAACACCTGTCTTCAAGCCAGGGCTCTGGCCAACCCAAACTGCCTTCTGGCCCTAAACTGTCCTTTTGAAGGAGCGGTTGAGGACAGCGCACCAGATCAGAGACTGGATCTACTCCACCTTACCTTTTCCTCCTGAGTGTCTACTGTGCATGGTCCCACACTTTGGACCGCTGAGTGCTCCGCACAGTAGAGAGGAGATACTCCATCCAATTCTGTCCCCTCCCGCCCTTCTACCCTCCTTCCCCGTCCCTCTTCAGGGACCCTTCTCACGAGCACCTCCTTATCCAGGAGGTGCAGTCGCTCCTATCACTAGGGGCAGTGGAGGAGGTTCTTCAGGAACACAGGAGCGAGGGCTTTTATTCCTGGTATTTCCTAATATCAAAAGCCAAAGGTGGCATCAGGCCTATCCTGGACCTGCGAGAACTCAACAAGTTCATGAAGAAACTCAGGTTCCGCATGGTCTCCTTGGCCCCCATCATCCCCTCACTAGATCCAGCAGACTGATATGGCACCCTTGACTTGAAGGACGCATATTTTCATATAGCAATCACTCAGCCCCACAGGAAGTACCTCAGGTTTGTGGTCAACAGAACCCACTGCCAATTTACGGTCTTCCTGTTCAGCCTGTCAGCAGCACCTCGAGTTTTCACCAAGTGTACGGCAGTCGTCACCGTGTTCTTGCGAAGGTACCAGGTACAGGTATTTCTGTACCTCAACCACTGGCTGATCGAAGGCTGCTCCAGGACCCAAGTGGAAGCTCAGGTCAGATTCAGCAGAGCCACCTTTGACAGCCTGGTCTACTTCTAAATGAAGCAAAATCGACTCTGTCTCCTGTCCAGACAATAGAGTTCAAAGGGGCAGTGCTGGACTCGACTGAAGCCAGGGCATACCTGACGGAGGCAAGGTTTCAGGCCCTCAACAATGTAATTAGAGGCTTCAGACAGTTCCCTCCCACTACAGCGAGGAACTACCTGAAACTTCTCGGACACATGACTGTCTGTACCTACGTGGTGCAGCATGCCAGACTCAGGCTTTGACCACTTCAGTTGTGGCTCAAGTCAGTGTATCGCCCAGCTAAGGACAGCTTGGACCCCAGGATCGTGATGCCTGCCTCACCTGGTCCTCGACTCCCTCCGGTGGTGGATCGACGCTCAGGAGGTATGCTCAGGGGTTCCCTTTGCCGTCTCTGTCACTGGTGACGGATACGTCAGACTTGGGCTGGGGAGCTCATCTGGGAGACCGCAGAACTCAAGGCCTCTGGTCGCAAGCAGATTTGGGTCTCCACATCAATGTCAGAGAGCTGAGAGCGGTGTCCGTAGCATATCAGACCTTCCGTCCTTACCTAACCAGACAATGTGTATCAATCATGACGGCCAATACAACAGCAATCTATATCAACAAACCGGGGTGCATGCTCCTCTCTCCTGTAGCAGGAAGCCCTCATGCTTTGGGACTTCTATGTACAACATTCAATACATCTGCAAGCATCGTACCTCCCTGGGGTACAGAACGAGCTGGCGGACTACCTCAGCAGGTCATTTCACAGCCACAAGTGGTTCCTTCCCCAGACATCGCAATTTCAATCTTCCAGAGGTGGAGTTTTCCCCAGGTGGACCTTTTCGCCATGCGACGCAAGAGGAAGTGCCAGTTGTTCTGCTCCTTCCAAAATCACTGCCCAGGCTCCAGCACGGATGTTTCATTCCTCCTCCATTGGGGAGGTTCTCTCCTATACGCCTTTCCACCCATACCACTTGTTCACAAGGTGTTCTCAAGATCTGCACAGATTGAGCTCAGGTCATACTGATAGCACCGGCCTGGCCCTGTCAGCACTGGTACACACACATCTCCTAGACATATCTGTGGGAGCCCCGATTACCTTGCCACTCTTCCCAGACTTTCTCACACAAGATCGCAGGCGTCTCCAACACCCGAACCTCCGGTCACTTCATCTCATGGCATGGAAGCTGCATGGCTAAATCCGTTGGAGCTTTCCTGTTCAGGCCAGGTTAGACAGGTCCTCCTTGGCAGTAGGAAACCCTCTATGAGAGCCACATACCTTGCCAAGTGGAAAAGATTTTCAATCCAGTTGGCACAGCACCATTTGCCCCTGAACTACCTCCTTCATCTGAAACAGGAGGGACTCTCGGGTGCATTTAGCCGTCATCTTGGCCTTCCACTTGGGCGTGCAGGGCTGCTCTGTGTTTGCTAACCCCATGGTAAGATG